ATTCCTCTGTCGTTGTGGGCAGTTGAGAGTGGGCTTGCTAGGCTTGACATCGCCAAAAAGCCGCTGAAAGAGGGAGAGCAGCTCGTGGCTAGCATTGACAGCAAATTCAGGGCCTTCGACGACCTCTACAAGGGCAAGCTGCGTCATTTTGACCTCGAGAATGCTCTCGCGTTCAAAGTCATCCATTTCGTCCACAACTGCGCTGTGTGCGTCGGCATGCTTCTCGTCAAGGTCATTCAGATGATCGCTCCTGAATCCCTCCTTAGATCTACCGAAAAGAATCGTATCATCGCCAAACTGCTCGAACGCGCCCTCGCACGACCTCTCTGCCATGGCATAGTCCTGCCGTGCGCTCATCAATAAGGCAAGCAGGTGCCACAACGGGAGAAGCGAGCGTTGTTGCCAGTATGGGCCATGATAGTGATTTTGGACATCGTCTGATGACTTGTGCGCAATCAAGGCGGTCTTGACAATCTCAATGGCCGGCGTCAACTCTCTCCGCTCCGCCAACAGAAGGCCAAGGGCAAATAGACTGCGAACGTCGCGAGTACGGCCGAGCTCTGGTGAAACTGCTTTTCGAAGACATCGAATCGCCTTGGCTTGCAGTTCAACTCGAGAGCCGGCGTCGTGTGTAACACGGGACCAATGGGCATGTGATAGACCCACCGCCTGCCATGACAAAGCGACAGATCTGGGTGAGATCTCGGGATGGAGCGTGCTGGTGGTCTCCTCGAGTTCCGGAAGCGTGGTTCCGTCCGAGACACCTGCCCTCAGCTGCGGCAATCTCGCCATCCAGTCCTCCAGCTCAGCACCCAGATCTTTGGCTTTCTCAATGGCGTCCTTGCCCCCGTACCGACAAAGCGCTAGGATGCACTGCGAGATTGTTTCGAGAACCGTGCCGTCGTCATCGAGTCCGCCCTCGGAATGTCCCGTCTTGTCCACTCTTGCCTTGCCGTGCTTGACCAGCTCCAAGTACGAATCAAAAGCTTTGAACGCAAGGTCGAATTCGGCGACTGACAGGTGAACAGTGAAGATGAACCTTAGAATGGCAGTCGAGTGGTAGGTTTTAGTCGCAGCACGGTAAAAGACATCCAAAGCGCCACGGCTGACGCTCTCACGGCCGCCTTCACCGAGGTCTTCTTCTCTCCATCCGCGACCACAGAGAATGGACCAATTCTTCATGACGGACTTGGCAAACTCCTCGACTTCCTCACGCTCCTCATCAGCCTTCGGAAATTGGGTTTCCGCAATCAGCAGAGCCTCGAAAGCGGCCTCCACCTTTTTCAGTTCCACGCGCAGCAGGCTTCTCGGAGACATCTCGGTGGTCATCGCGGGCAAGCTGCCTGTAGGGTAAGGGAGGTTAAGGTCGAGGATGTTGGAAAGGGCTGAGTAATATTCGTTCCAGACGCGCCGCCTCGGGACAGAGCCTCTGTAGCCCTGGCCACCGACAACTGTGAAGGCCTCCCAGTACCTGGCCCAGGACCGATAGCAGGCCAGAGAGTCCATGTCCTGGAGGGACCTCTCGTTGGACTGGAGAGCCTCGCTCTGCAGCATACAGAACTCGGTCAAGAACAGCTCGGAGCAGTATCGCAGTTGTTTCCCGGCACTCTTTCTCGACCATATAGCCGTGGCAGCCGGCAGAGCGGCCTCGAATATTCGTAGTGCTTCCTCCCTCTGTCCACTGACGACCAGGCAGTCGGCCTTGAGGTAGGCTGCCTTGAGCGAGCACACGCTCGTCCATTCGGATACCTTGTTGTCGGGATCCTGGATATTTTGTTGGTCAAGGGTTGAAGGCAGTCTCGTGGCGGCCAAGCGGTATTCCTTGCTGGTCCAGTGCACCCAGCCCACGGCAACTTGCGCCTGGAATTTGTCTTCGGGGTGCAGGTCGTCATTCTCGATAGTCTCGAGAAGTTTGGAGATCTGTTCAGCCGTGTCGATGTCGCTTGCAGGTGCTGCAGCAGTCTGAGGTCGTGCGGTCTGAGGACGGGAGGCGGTGTTCGAAGAGGATTTGGAGGATGTTGACACGGCGTACTCGAGCTCGGCGGTCAAGGTGAGGCATGCTCGATCCGGCGCATGTTTCCTGATTTTGCGTACAAACTCCGGAACAGCTTGCCAGTTTCCCTCGGCCCTCGCAGCATCAAGGGCCTGGATGTAGTGGGCAGCTTTGGTCGCGTCGGGCTGGAGGTGTTGGCGAGGGATTAGCCAAGCTGTACGTCATTGATGCAGCCAGATTGGCATCACGGAAGGGGGGTCCCCTGGACGCCATCAATGCTCACCATTTTGCGCCAAGATGAGATGCCCAGTACAGCAGAAGTACAGAAAAATAAGGACGCGACGCTATTGTGTTTGCAGTCGTGGCATGCTCGGTAGGGGTTTTGTCGCGGGGAAGATTGGGACCTGCGTCAAGTAAGGGGGCTCGCCAGAGGCAGCAGAAAGAATGTTGGAAGCAGGATACGACAGTTGTGCCTGCCATGGAGCTCGGGGTTGGCCAGCAACAAACAGCACGAGCATCTGACGGGCACCGTCAGCAGCCCGGCGGCAGGGGCTTAGGCAGGAGCTCCCTCCTGGACCTACCGGGACTGTCGATCGACGAACCGTAGCAGGAGCAGGAACAAGGGGTTGGAAATTTTGACCAATCAGAAATGGTGGGCCTGGGGTCCCGCAAAAAGGTACGGAGGTACTTCTCAATCGCTGCCAAAAAAGTTTCAACAGCTGCTTCCTCAGTTCCTCAGAGGTTTTGCTCATTGATCAGAAAGAAGTGCTTGCGACATCTCGTATTGCAATCTGCCACCGAGACAGACTCATAGTCTTTTGGTTTGAACCGCCTGGGAGATTGGTCAAAATCAAGGCTGCCATGTTTCTTCCCCCGGATCTGCGCGTCCTCTGCCGCCGCCTCACATCTACACCACCCGCTCAGCTGCCTCACTCGATACCGGCTTTCACAGGCCACGTTCTTCGGTGCCGAGATGTCCTCTCCACGCCGCACGATCCCAAGGCCAAGGATGGCGCGAACGAGGCCTACATGCTGGTGCATAAGCTCAAGACAATCATCACGACACTTCTCAACGGCAAAAGCGCCGCCGGCCGTTTTACTGGTGTGACACTCGTCAAGGCCGTTGTCGATGTTGGTGGATGGGAGTGTCTGCGCGAATCTGGACCATGGGTCCGCAGTCTTCTGTCTATTCTTCAGGTGGGTTGACTGTGAGCGACATCTGGCGTCAGGCAATGTACTCACAACTGCAGAAAAACGACCCCTTCGCCGTCAAAGAGTTGTGTGTGGTGGCACTCATCAAGATCTACACCCTCGTCAACGGCTTCCAGACATTGACGCGCGAGATCGCGACCCCCACCATTGCCACTTTCTTCAACGCTTGCCTACAGCTCGTGAAACAGCCACCGGTTGGCGAACGCTTGAAGACACCGCTGCACCTTGTCGAGACGATTCTGGACGCCTTTGCTACACTGCAACCTCTCTACCCCGCCACCTGCCGCCCGTTCAACAAGGATATCAGGGTCGTCATCAAGCCGTATCTCGCACCTACTTCTTCCGACGACATCCTGGTCCCCGAGTCTTTGCAGCGCGTAAGCCGAAGAGTCGTCATCTCCATCCACTTTACTACCGCCGGCAAGTCTGGCCCAAGCGACGAATGGGCCAAGTTTGCGGCAGAACTGCCGAAGGATTTTCATCTCTGTGCAGACCAGGTCTTTCGCGCTGTTCAAGAGAGCTGGGATACTGTCCCGCCACGCGCGCGGTCCACTGTCAACTATGACGCCCCGCCGCAAGGGGAGGATTCGGGCATTCAGCTGCCTGCGTGGAAGGGCGTTCGCGCTGGTGGTGACAGACTGATCGGGTTGTTCCGGCTCATGGCGGACTCGCTGCGCTACCCTACCAAAGACTTTGGCGTCATTCCTGTCGGCGCGTTCCTTGATACTGCCAGCCGCGTCTCTCTCATCAGCCGTCGTGGCAAGACACAAACGTGGGAGCAGGCTCTCGAGACTCATCCAGCTATTGGCAGAGAGGAGAAGGAGGAGCTTTGGAGTATCATGGCCAGCATTCACATTGCGGCACTCGAGCTTCTCCAGACTCTCTTCAAGAGACTGCAACACAATGCTCTTCCTCTTGCGTCCGAAAGTCTCGACATTGTCGTTCTGATTCTCAAGTCTGGCATCGAAAACCCGATTGTTCGTGTCGCCGCGTACAAAATCCTCTGCGACATGCTGCCGATTGTTGGTCCCGGCATGAGCAAGCCGGCAATTGACGCCGTCGGCGTCGTCATGCTTGCATCCTGCCGTGATCTGCAGCAGGAAGCGGGCCACCTCGCAGCCCCCGCGCCCTCCAGCAAGCCCGAATCGGGCGCCAAGAAGAACAGCATCGCCGCGAATGCTGACCTCTTCCTCCCCCAACAGCAAGGTGACGCAGCTTTGACTCCCGCCAACACCACTGGTCTTGCCAAAGAGCAACTGGAAATCGCCGAGACGCTTCTGGCCAGCCTCCTCGCCAACATCCCACAGCGGCGCCTCAAGCCGGGCCTACGTGGGCTGCTCGACCAGACAGCTGTGCTCAGCCAGAGCAGGCATGCCATGCTCGCCAGTGTCCTGAATCCTTACGTCAACGAGTCTGGTAAAAGCTACGCCAGTATCCTACCGCATCTGTCGCGCCGCTTTCCTCGCGATCAAGGGGTTGAGATTCTTCGGTCTAACATTCGCTCCTCAGCGCCCTCGTCTGGTGATGGCGTCGACATGACGGCCGGCTTTGAAGAGCTGGAAGAAGTAGAAGATGACGAAGATGATGATGAGATGGTCGATGCCATTGAAGTGCAAGACAGCGGCGAGGACTCAAAGGCTGACGAGGCCGGGGGTGGCAGCGGGTTTGGCATTGTCTCCAAGACAGCTCCCGTGCTGAGCGGCGAGGGCAAGGATCTGGCTAGCAGTAACAGCCCTTTCCTGACGCACAAGCCGTCCACCGTTGAAGTGGCAGGCGGTTCTTTGGCGTCTCAGAAGCGCAAGCTTGAAGACGCCGTGGATGTGGTACCGCCACACAAGAAGCATGGCGTGGAGAAGAGCATACCGGAGCGGCCCGTGGCTGCGGCCGCCGAGAAGAAGGCGGCGGAAGGAGAAGGAGAGAGCGATGACGAAAGTGTCGATCTCAACATGGACCTGGACGATCTGGACGACGAGGAGGATGAAGAGTAAATGTTAGCAGCCATGCCTACGTCTTGGCGTCGTTGGATAGAATGCTTGCATACATGGCGGCGAGACAAAACAGACCACGCAAGTTCTGATACCCCAACCCTTGGCTCGATCGACCTCATCTCAGTGTTGTTTCCCCGTGGCTTCTGGGTATAGTGTTGTCCCAATCCCGGCATCACATTCGAAAGCGTCTCATGACTTTTTATTCCTGCACCATCCTGCGGTGATTCTCCTGCCGAAGCGCAACAGCAGCCGAAATGACCAGGCTGCTCCCGACCAGTACATGCAGCGCAACCCCCGTCAGCGCATCCGCATCCAACGCCGATGAACCTTCCCAAGAAACAAGCGACGGGAAAGAATTGCAACAAGAAAAAAAAAACCCCCACCGACGACAACCCTATTCAGAAAAAAAACAAAAAGAAGAAACATTAATCCCTCAGCCATGCTCTCCTCTTCTCCTCCTTTCTCGCTTTCCTCTTTTCCTTGAACTGCTTCAGCTCCGTCTTGCTGAGCTTCTTCCCCGACCTCTCGGCCTTGAGACTCCGGCCGTCGTGCGAGTTGGCCGCGGCGTCGACGTCGAAGAAGGCATTCATCTGCCGCCTGCTCTTGGCCTCGTCCGAGTGCCGATCCGGCCCGTCCCCGGCGGCCTGGAACTGGCCCGTGAAGCGGTTAAAGGCGACCGCGGCGGCGTAGTCGCCTCCCAGCAGTTGTCCGGCCTGCGCGGCGGCAGCGTGCTGCTCCTCCTCCGAGGGCTCCGTCTGGGCGTACCAGGCCGTAGGGTCGTAGTCGCCGTGGATGGCGGGGTTGTAGCCGCCGGCGGGCGGGCGCGATGTGTCTGCTGGCAGCGGCGGCGGCGCGGTGAGGGCTGTGGCCGCGGCTGTCGTGCCTGGTGCGCCGGGCGCGGCTGTCGTGGACGAGGAGGCGGCGGCGGCGAGGCGCGGGTTGTCCCATTGCGTGGCGCCGGTGAAGCGGTTGTAGAAGAAGTAGGCCTGGGTCGTGGCGTCCCACTGGAAATCCCAGCCGTCGTCTCCAGCGACGGGCGGCGCCTCGTTGGGGAGCGGCGGCGCCTCGTTCGGCAGGGGAGGCTGTTCGTCGGGCAGAGGGGGGTCGGAGGCGCTGGGGGCCGGGGATGCCGAGTGTGTTTCGCCGGGCTCGGGCGAGGATCGGGTGGATGATGGTGGTGCCGCTGACGGGTCGTCGATCGTGTCTGGTTGTGCAGCGCCGTCGTCTTTTGCAGGGGCGGCCGCGGCTTCGGAGTCGCGTGACGCCGTGTCCTCGAGCTGAGGATCGTGTTCGGGCGATGCGCCGGCAGCGGCAACAGCAGCAGCAATGGCAGCCTCGGCCTCGGCGTCAGCATCAGCTCCTGCCATTTCGGTCTCGACGCGGCTCGGGGAGAGAGGGTCGGAAGCCATGGCGAAAGAGGGCGACAAAGATGGGTGCTCTGCTTCAATGCAATGTGGTGGAGAGCTTCATGCCCGGTTGATGAAACGTATGGGTTGGCCGCAGACGTGTGTTGGTGGTATCGTATGACTGTGGTGGAAAGCCGTGGGGACGCGTGGGGAGACTGGAGTCAAGGTTTGCAGGTCGCGAACATGTGCATTGAGATCGAGGCTCTCTGCGCTACAACGAAGTCGCAGCTCAGGCGCGGCTGGTCCAGCGAAAAATCCAGGGCTGCGTCATGGCAGGTGGACTGTGTTGATCTTACTAGCACTGTGTTGTGCACAGTACGATCCTTGGACCTCGACACCACCGAAAGGTCCCTGTCTTCTACTTTCTACAGCTCTCCTCGATCATCTCGCTGACCACATCTCTATCACTGGTGATCATGGCATCTTACTGAGACGCTGGCATAGCACGAACCCCCCACCCCCATCCAAATGAGTGTGGTGTATGGATTCCACACCCTCTTGACTCGCCATCAATCTTATTGCAGTTATTTCCCCAGTATTGAGGAACCTAAAACTGACCTACTTGGTCAAACATCCAGACCAAACGGAGAAACCATGATGAACGTGGGACCATTTGAAAGCATCGCAGGCTACTTGATTCCTCCGTCCAAAAGGGACTGCTTTAATCTTCTGTGTACGTCCTGCCCTGATCCAAGTCACGACTCCAAACTACACCCGAGGCAATCTCGCGCCCAATAGTTCGAGACGTTGCGCGCACCATAGGTCCCGTTTCCAGACTCCCTTAAGGCGTTACTAGTGATCAGGACTACCACCGTCGCCTGATCGCCTGGTCATGTGAGTACAGTCCGCCTGATCGCTATTGCAGGCATAATCTCCAGTCCGCAAAGCAGCTCAATAGAGGCAAGCGGCCCCTAAGTGTTGACGTCTGGAATTCGATCAGTAACAGGAGCGCTTCCAAAGTGCTGGCCAGTCGGTTCACGTACTAACAACGTGGAAGCCTTGTCCATACTGTTTCAGGCATGGGTCCGTTCCCCACCAGCCTTTGCTAAGACACTGCGTGTATTTAGCAAACGAAAATACAAGGAGCCACGTCACAATGCTTACGTAGTGGTCGGTTCGGCTTCGCCAAAGAGCGGGAGCGTCATTGCGCTGCCCCCAATGACCGCCCTTCTTCTTGCAGAGGGACTTACCCAGATCCCGTGATACGCCCCTACAGTAGCTGAGAAAATACGCCCCAGTTTGAGCAGTTACGGTGACGCTATGACGGGTGTTAGTCGAGAGTCATGATGTCTTTCAGAAAGGATCGAGGCACCTCAAAAGTGCCATGATAGCCACGCTGGTGATCTTCATGATAGAATGATGTGCAGCGTTGTGAAGGGTAAGTTTTGCTTGTTGTAGTGAATGAGGGCTACTGATTTGATGCCTCTGGATTTCTGAATACCAACAACCATCATTTGGCGACAGGACGTGGGAATTTATAGAAGATCAGGACCACCTTCCTCAACGGCCCTAAAAGCTTATTAGAAGACTGATGCCCTCTATTCCTCCGGATTTGATACGAGACTAGATAACCTGAGCTATATAAAATGTTGGACTATATAAAGATGTCTGATACACGAGAAATTGTGTTTTCCAAAAGTGTAGATATACAAGATTCTGACGATCAGGTGCTACAGAGGCGGAGCTGAAAATGTTGGCCCAATTTGAAGGACATCGTCGCTGTCGTCGTAGAAGACTGGCATTTGTGTCAGAGCGATGGAACAAGCAGCGTGAAGAGAGGTCTTCCGCATAGGGGTCCAACGAGCCCTTGGCAAGGACGTAGTAGAGGTCTGGATCGAACAAGTTTATCCCTTTAGGAGCAAGAAAGGTCTCAGGTACTTTGGAGCCAAGCCCGACCGGCTCAACCGCCTACTTGAAAGATCCTTATATGATATAGGGCGATCAAGTGATATTATATAAATCGTCTGGAAGCTCAATTCTACCATAGTGTCTGGAGCGCCTAGTACGTACTGTTGTACCTAAGGTCGTTCTTGGTCTCAAAGGGGCACATGCTATCCAGTTGATCAGCTTAGCGTTGCCTTACGTATTCCTCACGCTACTATGATAGTATGAACTGGTAGGACCGACTGCGCCTGTCGTTATTTCTAATTATATGGTATGTGTGGATATGGTGTGTGTGGGTTCAAGTCGATAGCTAGCTAAGATTGTCTGGCCATAGCATCAATGTAGAAACCAAGTCCTCATTTGAAGCCAGAGCCGGCTACCGGAGACGGCAGGAAGGCTTTAATTACTCTCATAGGCACCAGAGCTGACGCAACGGCCACCTTTCAGGAGGACGCTTTTGACTATGTCAATATCGTTTTCTCAAGAACGAAGTGTCTAACCCAGGCGATATCCGAGGTTAATTTCTAGCTAGGGATAGGAATAACTGTGAATACTCTCGACCCGCAGCTAAGAGTCCAATCGCCGAAGGGCTCTCCCCGGCCTCCCACGGCTTTTCCCCATGCCCAGCAGCTCTCAAATCTCTGATTTCGACCCCTGAACCTCCGTGTTCTAGAGATCCGCAGGCGTCTTCTGGCAATTCGTGTATGTACTCTGTTAAAATGGCGAGATCAGGTCACGAGGATTCGTCCGCTGCTCGAATCGATCTGTCACACTCTGCATAGTGACCACGGTATCTATCGGTGGGGTAGTAGGCATTATAAGTGGTTTCGGGGACCGCTAGGCGTGCGTCGGGGTTCCCACTTTGCTCAGTCACGGCGTTCCTAAGTTCATGTCTACCCGGATAAAATTGAGTTTGGACGCAGCCCGAGCTCCATCGGGAGCGGCGCGTTAGTTAACCCGATCAGTACGGCGCCTGGTTGGGGGTCAAACACGGAACCGACCACGCCACCGGGCTAACCCCCCAGACATCTGCCTATGTACTCGCATCAATGTGTGTGTGTGTTGGTGGACGGCTCACCTAACCTGTGATCCTTTCGTCAAAAGGCGCTGTCGCCTATTCCCTCGAGCTGACGCTTTGCATCATTCTTTGATGGATGGAATGAGTGCAAGCCTTGATCACGATCTTTTGGATGAAACTGTCACGATTTTATTCTTACAACTGTCACCACTTAATCTCCTTTTCAGCGCGTCATAGCGCTATGTCATTTCGAGGCCCCCAAGTTACTTGTAGTTTGCGCAACGCCCTTTGTCCTCTCTAACGAAGATGTTCCCCTTCGAGAGTCGGAACGTAACTGCTTCAAGACCAATGGTTCTAGCAACGACTTTTTCTCTGACCATATCTTTTTCGATTTCCGCAGATTGAAGCAGTACACCAATGTTCCATCCATCCTCGGGGATGAGGACGACACTACAGCGGCCGACGTGACAAGCGACTACTTCGACAGCAACAAATGGACCGAGACCTAGGGTATCCAGACTTGGAATGACAGCGACCGCTTAGGTGCTGACGATACCGACGCTTCGGTCCTCCTCATCGATTTGCCCAACAACCTATACATCGACGCCAGCGACGAAGGCCAATATGACGCCTCGCCATCTGACACCTTCCGGACGATGCGGACTGGAGGTTTCAGACAGCGTCCGAGTTTAAATCGATCCTAGGCTCCTACCAGCATGTATCTATTCGCATGCATGCGCGCACCATTGGCAGGCTCGGTGCCTGTACCGCCTGGCTCACCTACCGGGACAATGACGCTGAGACGGCAGACGTCCAGGAAGCAGACATGGAAGTGAGGCTGGGCCACGCGACCTCATACAATACACTAATCAACTATCCTTCACCACCCAGGGGGATGACGTTGAAGGCGCGTCGACAAACGCGAGCATGCCCAAAGGTGTAACATGGAGCGACTGGGCCGTGCATCGCATGAACTGGACGCCAGGGCAAAGCACATGGTTTGTCAATGGCGCGGAGGTGGCGGGCATCAAGCTTCAGGCTCCTAAAGATCCCAGCAGAATCTTGTTCATTGCCTGGAGTGATGGCGGCAGCTGGACGGGCAAGATGGCCGTCAATGACACGGCTTATCTTCAGATCCAGTGGATTGAGTTTGTTTTTAATGTCACTGGTACGAATGACGTCAACGACAGGACGAGACGACTTGTGCCGAAGCCTGAGGGCGGCCCTCACAGCCCTCCCATGCGATGCGACGTAGACAACGGATGCAAAGTCGTCTACAGCATTGATGAATCTGGTCATGTTGGCGAAACGGTCATGCTTTGGAACGGAACAATAGATGGCACCCGTCTCGCGACGCGACATGGCCTTTCAACGGCGTTCTGGTTGCCAGCGCTCATCGTCCTAACTATGGCTTTGTCTTCGATGTCGGTTCTATGATGAACCAAGGCGCGTGAGATACAACTATAGACATTTGTTGAACACTCAACTGTTGACCGCATATCAATTTACTATCTCGACGATCAAGTGCAGACCATGGTAGTGGTCGTACTACTGGAACGCTCATAGCAACCTGGGCGTGTAACATGTAGCACCACTGGTGCACTGGCACCACCTGAAGCCGGCCTCCCGATCTGGTTGTCGGGGGTATGACAGAGGAATGCCCGGCAACAAACGGAATACAGGCGATCGGACACAAATTCGGCCAAAATTTGGCCAATCGACGCCGTTGATACTTGATGACTTCCATCGTAGACTGAGGCTCGCCAGCATTGACATCGGAGAGACAACTCTGGCCTTAGAACTCTCCTGAAGTTGCCGCCTCTGCTGCTGCTGCTGCTCTGGACCCCCGTCTTCAGAGGCACCATCATCAACGGGTTCCTGGCTGAGACAGGGTTTGACGACCGCGTAGTATACATGACTCATGAGGTATTATAGCTACAGAAGCCTTTTCCTTAGAAAGAGTCACTGTGTTTTCTTTCCCCCATAGAAACCCTTGCCGTTATGATTTTGTCGTTTAATCCCCGTAACGGGCCTCCAGAAGCTGATCTTTAGTAGGACAACTTTGAGATTGTAGTAGTCGTATGGAAGCCGACAACGAATAGGGCGCTAGCGGTAGTGTGGATGCTGATTTAGACTTGAGAAGCCCAACGTGTCTTCCGTGCCAGGGCCTCCGATGAACGGGTCCAGGTTTATTTGAGTCGGTATCCCGTCGGGGTGGCTGTACCGGAAGCCCAGGTGGTGCTACCTTGCGTCCAGGCTGGGACTGTTGGAGTCGGAGGCATTCTGTCGGCGGCTCGCCTCAAAATTGGCCTTACAGCCGGTTTTCTACGGTAGAATCTGGCGCAACGATGTCAGTAGATAAATCATGTCGTCGGTCCTCCGCTCTTATCCGTGAGCAATAGCAATGACCGTCGTTATTGCCAGTTTGATTGGCGCAGGGTTAGGGAGGTGCTTTGCTGAAGTGCTTGTAACGAGCCTTGGTATATCTTGTACTCTTTACCTCTGGAGTGGCGAGCACCTGAAGTGCTTGTAACGAGCCTTGGTATATCTTGTACTCTTTACCTCTGGAGTGGCGAGCACAAAAGAAATGCCACCAACCCCGCTAGCCAAACGCGTCGACCTTCCAGAGGCATACTGTAAGCCCTTGTGTTTTGTGTGCCCTTCCCTCATATCGTCTGCTGGTTCACCGTGAGACCTATAGCAACCCCTTAAAACGAACTCTATTTCTCACGAAGACTGCGTGCAAGTTGCCGAACCCACCTGTTGAAAATCAGAATTGGAATTGAGTGGCGGTTGTTACAGCCATCATGAGGTTGTCTGGAAACCTTCGTGCCTGCTTTTGCATTTTGAGGAGGTTTGTCAATGGGACAACTCCAATATATCGGCTTTATCCGACCCAGTACGTTACAAACTGCAAGAGCACCTTGCAATCGCCCGTTAACATGGGTCTTTACTCATGAAGGAAGCAATGGACTCTGCAGACGATCCCTGATATGCCTATTGCATATGAACTTGATTCACGCTACGAATATTTGACTGTTCAGCGAGTTCAAGACCTCTCTTATCATTTGACTGGTAGTAGATGGACCATCACAGAAAGGCGGGTTGGGGAGTCATATGGTGCTAGGCCCGTTGTGAGCACACCCCTGATCATGTAGCGAGAGCAGCGTAAGATTTGACAATCTGAGGTTCTGGCTAGACGTCGAGGCTTAAGACCAGCACCTGTCATCAACCACGAACAGCGACAGGCTGGCTTGCGGCCTGTTGCCCAGGAAAGAAAATGGGAGGTAACTTGACTGGGTCGAATATCCGGTTCGTCGATAAAGCCGATCACGGAACAATCACGCGACATGAACATTCCATCAAGGGGCACAGGGCGCTGAGAGGCTTGCAGGTCAGTCGTTCTCGAGCTCCAAGCGACGTCTCATGTTGTCGATCATACTCCTTGCCTCAAGATCCTGAAGCCCAGTCAAGTCCGTGCGCACAGCTCATGGCCGTGCCACGCATTCAGCAATGATTCCACAAGTATGCTTTTGACAGTTTCCACGTTTATGACAGCTGTGTGTCAAACATGAGCCTGGAGAACTCTGCTCCTGGGATCCTCGGACCCTGAAGCTAGCTGGACAAAATCTGGTCAACTGGCCGAATTACTGTCCTGATCCAGTGACTATCAGCCCGCATCGCAACCTCTGCAGCATGGTAGGCCCCGCCAACCTGGAAAGGCCTCTCATAACCCCTGTTCACCCCTGCCTGACATCGCGCGCCCAGCACTTCGACCAGACGTCCGAGCACCAAATTCTTAGGACCTCCCCTCTTTCAGGGTCGTATTGGGAGCATAATACATCCCTTAAAGAAAGGCGAACCAGCCGCTCGTTCCTGGCCTCGGTACCAGTCGATCAATTCTGTACCTCACGATCGTACGTTTTCGCGTGGGATATACTTTTCTCAGCATGAAGTCCATCTTGGCGTTACCATACTTTGTCGCTGGTGCTGTGGCTGGGAGTCTTGATACAAGGCAGAGTGGCGACAGCAACTCGTGCCCACAGATTCACATCTTGGGCGCGCGAGAACCGACAGCGCCAGCGGGCTTTGGCTCTACACAGGGTATCGTCCAGCTCTTGTTGGACCAATTTCCCTCTTCGACGGCTGAGGCTATCGATTACCCGGCTGAAGGTGGTGATGCATATGGGCGGAGCGTGACGGCGGGACTCAGGGCCCTACTGAATCAAACGCAAGCCGTCATGACAAGGTGCCCAGAGACCAAGCTTGTGCTCGTAGGGTACTCCATGGTAAGGAATTACGAAGCGCGGGTATATACCTGAGACGAAGGCGCTGACAAGCCGTGAATTCGCAGGGCGCCCAAATCATCGACGATGCCATGTGCGGCGGACCCGATCCCCCGAGTCTCATCACCGACATGATCCCCATGTCTCCCGAGATGGGCGAGAAAGTCGTTGCGACACTGTGGATGGGCAACCCACGATTCTTCAGCCCTTCACCCTATAGCGTCGGATCAGCTAAGCTCGGTGGCGTACGTCCCTCCCGTTTCCTTGGCGCCATCTCTCCATCCATCTCTTTCCCTTCTCTGTCTCTCTTTTTGGTACGAAGAGCACAAAGCTGACATGAATAAGTTTGCGGCACGGGAGCAGGGCTTCGTGTGCGCCACCTACGCCGAGAGGATCCAGTCCTACTGCGACGAAAGGGACCCCTACTGCTCCAAGGGTAGCAGCGACTTGACGCACCAGAACTATGCTTACAAGTACGGGAGCTCGGCGTTGAACTTTGTCAAGGCAAGGGTCATGGCGGATGCGTCAGATGTCGACATGGCGTCGAACGAGAGCACTGCTGCGGCCACCGAGACCGATTCCTCTGCGGAAGGGTGGGCGAGGCCGCGTTTGGTCTTATCAATGGCCCTCGGCATGGGTGCATTGGGTCTTGCTCTTTGAGACTGGGTGATCGTGTCGTGCATTTATGAGCAACTGACTCAAGTATCTGGCGTTTTTGGGAGGGCGACACTTGTACGTACCATGCTTGGGTAGCATTGACCTGGTTCTAGAAAAGAGAGAGTATGTTTGGCGTCAATGTGACGCGGCGGGATGCGCATGATCGGCTGTCTAGGCAATTCGGGGAGTTGGCTCTATTGTAATCTGATGCTGATGACATTATATCCTCACATCACACAGCACAGACACCACCACATGCCCGTGCACAGCAACATCCTGGCAGGCTGTCCTGGTAGGCGTGCTGGATGGCGATGCGTGCGTCAGACCCAACCCGGATACGACAGCTGCGTGGAAATGTTGGCGTAAATGCGTTCGAGGTTTGGCAGCTCGGCGCGGGGGAGATACGCCTCGAGCCTCTGCGGGAAGACGTCCTGCCAAATGGCCGACGCGGCCGTCAGGCCAATTGCGCCGCCAATGTTGCCAAACATGCCGAGAACGGCGAGGCAGATGGCGACGTGCTGGTGGGAGGCGGCGGCGAGGATGGCGAGCTCGTCGCAGACCATAATGGTGGCAGCGGCGACGGAGATGAGGATCTGGCACAGGACAATGGGCGCCACGGCAGCGCCGACGCTGCACAGGTACAGCATGAGCCCCGAGCCGGCGGCGCTAAGCGGGATGCCGACGTGTAGGCAGATGGGACGGAAGCGGCCCGTGTAGTGGATCAGGGCGCCGACGCCGATGCCGCAGAGAACGGAGCAGACGGTGTAGCTCTGCACCACGTAGCTCGCATTCTCGACGCTGAGATCGTTGACCACCTGCAGGTACGAGCTGAAGAAGCTGTTCCAGACAAAGTAGCTCAGGAAGAGCGTCGCCGACAGGAGGCACGCGCCGGCGACGGTGCCGTCGACGAGCAGCGCGTAAGGGATCAGCGTCATCGAGGCGTACCGCCGCTCCCAGACGACAAAGCCGGCCGTCAGACTGATGCCGGCGCCGAGCATGCACAGGATGACAGCAGGACTCCAACCCTGCACGGTGTAGAGGTTGAACGGCAGCAGAAAGAGGGCGACGCCGGAGGAGAGCAGGATGAGGCCCACGGCATCGAACTGCTCGCAGTAGTAACGGAAGCCCTCCCAGAACGTGCGGTCCTCGTCGTCGGCGCCGTTCTTCACGACGAGACCCTGCTTCTTCGCCTTGAGATGGTTGTTCCAGAGGACACCGAACAGCGGGAGCGTGATGGCGGGCACCATGATCGTAGAAACGCCGAAAGCCCAGCGCCAACCCGGCCCCTCAAGGAATTTTGACGCGATCGGTCCGGCTGCGAAGCATGTAATGATGTTTGGCGAGCTGACAATGGCCTGCAACAAGCCTCGGTTCCGCAGTGAAGAAGTATCGGCTACGAAGACCATCAAGCTATACAGAATGCCGTTATTGCCTACAGTGCCCAGAACCTGGGCCACAGCATACATCTCAATGTTGTTGCAGGCGGTCATCATGATGAGTCCAAGAGTGGCCAGCATGATGCAGAATAGAAAGCCGTGAGGGCGTCCGAACACGTCCAGGATCTTGGCTAAGGTGAGATTTGTGACGCCGCCGACGACGCTGCTCAGAATGCCGACCGTCGGGGTTAGCGAATGCATGGCGAATGCCGACGTGACATAAGGCGTGAGGATCATGGTCGAGCCTGCGACGACACCCTCGACAAAGTGGGTGAGCCAGATCATCACGTAGACAGTGATGAGAGCGCCAGTCGTCCATGTCATTGCGACGGCCTCAATGTTCTGGACACCTGGCTGAGGGTCCACAGAAGGGTCGTCCTCAATACGGTCGTCTGGGGTGTGTAGAGCTGCATCTTCGGCAATGTTGGATTCGTGCGACTCATGGCTGAGGAGACTGAGGTTCTCGTCATCGTCTGATCTGCTGCCAGCGCTGACATGGCTCTCAACTTGGGGCTTCATGGTCTGCTCCGGTTGGTTGCATTCAACTGGGTGGCCAGGTTCCCTTCTGAAATGATAAGGGTGTCAGTCGATTGGCTTCTAGACAAAACAGCATGTCATTAGAAAATACGACCTTGCTTGAACACATCGAGCGCTGCAAAATAAAACGAGGACTGCACATGGCATCCTAAAGGGCGGAATGTGGGAGGGTACGGGTTTTGTGCAAGTGGCTGTAACCTGCTCACTGGTAACCTTCTCACGTACGCAAAACGTGCTCACTGTGGAGGATCACCAGTGAGTGCCCTGCTGGCCTTCCGCTTGTATGCTAAGCACTGTAGTAAAACTAACCCATTTAGGAGGGTCTGAGACCTGCATCTGCGGCCGCCTGTGCAACCCCTGGAGAATCATCGAGTGGGGGTTACAATGAGGTGTAAATCCAGGGGTCTGCATCCTTTAGGAAGAGCATACATGGCGTGCTTACTCGTGTCATTCGATACGCGCACGGGAGGCAAATCAGTACTAAACACTTGCCTGCCTGTCTGTCGCATATGCGATGATTTATCACGGGAAGAATGAGATGCTGCGTCAAAACGATAAAGATATCTCATTGCGATTCCTTGCCTGAAATAGATGGTAGGAAACGCGCCTACTTGTATAAAAAAACATCTAGCAACAGGTATCTACAAGCTCGGCGTACTTCGTGAAATCGTCATCCGTCATGAACATGTCCAGCTCCTCCGGGTGCGTCCCCAAAACAAGCTCTACGCCACCGTCCTTGCGCAGCGGGAAGACGACCAGGAACCGGAAGCGCCCATTGCCGCGCTCAATCAGCGGCCTCATCGACTCGGGCGAGCCCTCGTTTCCGAAGAAGGCGTCACCAAAGTTAATCTCGCTAGCGGGGAAAAGCATCATGTTGGAGATCATGGCGTTCATGTGCTCAAGGCCCATGTTCGCCGTCGAGAATCTGCTGTGATCCGGCAGCGATTGCAGGATTGTCAGCGCATCATGGACGACCGAGGGCGTGATGCGCGCGGCGGCCTGGCGCAGAAAATACGCCACCTGACCGACGCTCGTCTCGGGCGCGCAAAGCGTCTCGACGGGCATTGTCGATCGGCTGAGCACAAGGAGGCTGCCCATGTAGGTTGACGGCAACATTGACGAGAAGAATGGGCGGCCGTCTGTTGGCAGCTCAAGGATTGACAGGTCACTGTCCGAGAAGGACTCCTTGCGGATCTCCTTGGCTACGCGGTATCGCGCCCTGATGGCGGCACGCCAGAAGAAGGCTTGCACAATGTCGCTGATGGATGTGATAACACCCTTGGCCGCTGGATCGGCAAGGACCTCTTGCTTCATGCTGTTGAGCTTCTCGGGCGTGATGACGAATAGTGTCGTCTTAAGGCATCTCTCGGCGCGTGGCAAAGGCCAGACGTTGTGCAGCGGGAATTCCGGCCTGGGTGGCAGAGTCCACTCTGTCCTAGTGACAGGAGCTGGAGTGTTACTATCGGCCTCTGGCGGGAAGAAAGGCAGGAAATTCCAGGTTCCGGGGTCAATTTCCTCTAGAGGACGGACCCAGCCTTCTTGCTCGTGAATGATCTCTGGCAGGCTGTGGTTGAAGCTCTCAGGATCAAACCATTCGCATGTTGCAGATTCGTCGCCCTGGAGGAATCTACAGTTCTCGGCCCAAGCCTTGATGGCGACCATGACACCGAGGCCGTCGAGGCAGCAGTGATTTAGGTCGACTGCCAGAATGCAACCGCCCGTCACGAAATTCGCCTGACCAACGAAAATGTTGGCGGGAAACTTCGGAAACGGATCGTCCCTGAGGACAACGTCGTCTTGACAGAGTGACGGGGCAAAGCCTGCCTCTTGCATTTTCTTGTAAGACGGAAGAACTCCAGAGAGGTCCTTGTAAACGAGACGATTGTGGACCGACGTTGCCTTCGAAAGGGGGGGCATCGTGACGCAGAGGTCTCCCTTTGTGTAGCCGATCACCTGCTCCGAGCAGTGCATCATCTTCCCACTGAGGCCGGGAATCATATCAAAAGTGCGGTTGAGGCCCGCTTGGAGATTCTGGAAGACTCGCTCAAAGTCGGCCCCCTCACGAAGCGGGAAATAGAACATGAGACCCATGCCATGGTTGGGGTTGACATAATCAAAGGCGTTAAGGCCAAAGGTTTGTCGTGCCTTATGCTGAGCGATCAAGTTGTTCAGCTTGACGTTGTTCTGGTTGACAGGTGCATGCTCTGAAGCCTTCTCCTTGGCTCTCTTCTCCTCTGACAGCTTCAATACGGTCTCTGAGAGGCCCTTAATTGTAGGGTTGGCATACACGTGGCGGGGAGCAATCTTCTCTCCGAGCCCTGTAGCTGCACGAATGGTCTTGACCGCTGCGAAGACACCCAGAGAGTCCAGGCCGAGAGCAAACAGATCCGTTTCAGGGGGTACTTCGCTGCCTTCAGGTAGAGATGAAGCCAAAATCTCACGGAGACAGTCCTGGACGGAATCGATCGAGGCTAAGTCAACGTGGATGTTCACCTCAACATCTTCACTTCGTGAGCTGTAGAATCGTTCGATGTACTCGCTATACAGAGCAATGGTGGCGGGTCTCTTGATCGTGCCCTTGTCGGTGCGAATGAAGGGTTTGTCAGGGTCGGAAAAGGTCACAAAGTCCTTGTGCAGCTGGTTTTTGTGAAGCGACATGGAGTTTGCCTTCTTGACTGTTTCCCAGATGCTATCGAGTAGCGAATCGGGCTTGTGCGACGGGTCCTTGAGTTCGATAAGTAGACCAGCCTGAGGCTTTGCGGTTCCGAAAACAAGACATCCGTTGATGGCAGGGTGTGTAGTAACGAAAGCCTCAGTTTCCAGAGGCGAAATCTTGTAGCCGTTGGACAGCACAACGAGGTCATCGCTCCGTCCTTTGAAGGCCCAAAGATTTGGCTTGCTCGGATGTCTTCTGTACAAGTCCTTAAAGTTGATCGAGTCCTTGTCTGGGAAAGTATGGAAGATGCCTTGCATAAGGGGCCAGGAATCGTTCCGATGAACCCAGTGCTCATAGGTGTCGTCGTCAATCTGTTTGAACTCGAAGCCTGACGACGGATGGAAGCAGAACCAGAACCAGTCTTCCCTCTCCGTCACGAGGTTGCCGATGAATAGGCCTTCAGTCGTGCCCGTAAGGTTCAGCACTCTGATCACTTCATTGACCTTTCCTGCGCTGACGGGGCTGACGGGACCTCCAGACGCGCAGATGAACTTGGACGGCTGGAATTTTGCCAATACTTCAGGTGTCTCGCCAAGCTCGTCGACGAGAGATGGCACCATGCTCCAAATGTCAATGCTTGCAGTCACGGCTAATTTCTCCACGAGGTTGATATTGGGGAGCACGCCCACAGGACCCAAGACGCAGTGTAGGTTGAAGAGGGCTGGCATCATGATGTCCATGATAACCCCTGCTCCGTGGCTCATGGGAAATGACGAGTAGATCCTGTCACCCGACTTCCAGTTGGATGTCCAGGGAGCGAGGTCAAAATCAGGGTCGTCTACTGGCGGCAGCAGCCGCACAGCGTCCATTGTGCCAACGAGACTATGCGACCATGGGATAGGCTTGGGCACTCCGGTTGTTCCAGAAGTATGCAGAAAACAGAATGGATCGTTCTTAGCTTCTTCAAATGTCTTGGTGTAGGGAAATGGTTCAGTAGGTGTTGTGCTGAGTAGGTCGTCGAGCAGTGGGAGCTGTAGGATCTTCATTGGTCGCTGTTGGAGCACGTCCTTGACGAGAGGGATAGTAGCCGCATCTCCAGCGGAAGCCCAGATGTTGCACTTTGTAGCCTCGAGGACTGCCAAAGCTCCCTCTGTATTGTTCTTAGGAGATAGGAAGAGTGCCTGTCAGAGAATAGGCGTCAGCTTCTTTCCGACCTATCCATGGCCCCCCAAAATTAGCCTAGAAACCTGTCACTTACTGTGTAACCGGTCTTGACACAGGCGTAAGTCAGGAGAACGTGTCTCAGGTCGTCTAATCAAGCCCGTCAATTTCAAATCGCGTCCAGAGATGGGATATCATAAACTTACGCGGTCCAATGTAACCCACAGGCTGAATCTGCTCAGTATCTCCAACTTGTGCGTGAATCCACCACGCCAGCTTGTCAACGGCTTGAGTGAAAAGTTGGGCGGAAACATCACGGAATTCAAGAGACTCGGCAGAAAGCTTTGTTAGGGAGAACACAACCCGCTCAGGCTCGACGACGGCAAGGCTATCCATAATCTGCGGAATCAGTCGTCTGCCATACGGCGTGTCATCACGATCAGGCTCCCGCGACAGCGAAACGCCACTCGGCTTCTCTACGGGACTCGAAGCGAGACTTGGAGGAGAGTCTGTTGCGGGCGTCGCCTGGGTATTGCCTTCTGAAAGTTCTGATTGCGAGTAGAAAGATGATCGCTTGACAGAGGCAGAGTCCGAGGAGGCGATTGTGGAGGGCGTTGAAGCACCACTTAGGTACTCGTAGACGCTCAGTGGCCTGGCTTGTCGGAGGTAGTCCGCCGTAGCCTCGGTGATGCCCTCGGAGCCCTTCTCTAGCGGTTGTTCTTCAAAGTGACTCGGGCGGCCGTCCTCATAGACAACCTTCAACCGCTTGTCCTTACTAAACTCGCCCATGGGAGCGCTTACCCACTGGCCGTCTGCTAGCTGAGCAACGGTGCAGTGCCATGGGGTCGTGAAACCAGTTTTCGTGCTGAGGAGGCTGATGGAAATCTTGTCCCCTGCAACAGATTCGTGAATGGAAAGACGGAGATGATTCGGGAACTTGTTTTTGACAGCTCCAGCAAAAGCCTACACGAAAGTAAGTCATCGCAATGACAGGCGCACGAGGCGGACAGAACATACATATCCTCGTATCAGCATCTGCTTTGCCAGGTATTTGCAGTCTCTCTTGTAACTGTTTGAAGTTCGCTCGGTTCCACGTGGAAAGATGTGTTTCAGATCCGACTCTAGGAATCTCTTGTATCCGAGATATGTGAGCTTGGTGTCTGGATTTGAGGCAATCTCATCGTCAATGTTGAGATCTTCCCTGCCATGCTCATTGAGGAGCATGCGACGGAAGTTTGTGCAGTTGGCAATGTAGACGATGTCTCTCATATCCTTAGGCATCGGGGAATCGAGCAAATCACCGATCCGGCAAAAGTCGACATTGTCAAATCTTTTCTGGATGGACATTTTTCGCAGAGCCTGTCCATAGGCCCAAGTATCTTGATCCGAGATACATAGCAGATCTGCAGCAAAATTTAGCTGGTGGTATTGATCAATCACGGACAAATCATAATTACCGTTGTATGTGATGCCGTCTGAGATGATGGTGACGCTGGCGCCGGGTGAATACACGTTCCGAATCTGGACGCACATGGAATTCAACCGGCCGAGAGCCAATTCCTCAGCCTTATCAGGCAGATTACCGAGTACTTTATATACCTTATTGGCTGATTTAAACGGGAACGCAGGAAGACATGTCTTGACTGGCTGCTGTGCCGCGACGAATCGGGCAATGACCGACAAGAAGTTGATCTCACGCTTCTCTAGTGACTCCTGCGTGTTGTCGAATTTGTTAAGCGCATGCTCAGAAATGATATCCAGGATTAGTCGAGATGTATCCTTGACATGCTGTTCCTGATCAGCAAACAGGGTGTTTGCTGAAGACACGGCACCGTCCAGGCAGGAGAGGGGGCCGTGAGCAGCGGCATTAGTCGTTCGGATCGCTGCCATGTGGGCGGTGGGGGGTGTATGGGTCCCTGCGTAACTTTGATTGAAGGACCAACACAAGAAATGATTGTCTGGGTTGAAATGCAGTGTCGATTGGCGGCGATGCAATGTCAACGTGCTGTTGGCGGCAGGATGATGGACGGTCGAGCAGAAAAGCTGGGGCTAGGTTGCAAGGTGAGAGGCACCGCGATGGACCCTAGTGAGGACACAGATAACCTTTCTCACCGCAGGTTAGGGCAAGATACCTCAGAGAAAGTCATGAGGCGGAGGGAATCTTGGTGGGAGTGAAAGTTTATGAGAATGCGAGACGAGGAAGGCACGCAAGATGTGAACGGCGAAGCAGTGTAGAGAAAGGGTATGGAAGAGAGCCAAAGGCCTGTCTACTTAAAACGCAATTAACAGCTCTAACGAGCGCCGTGCTGATGGTAGGGGCGCCACCAAAAGCCTTGTCGACAAGGACAACAAGACAGGGGGCGAACTGAAGGATGCTCATGGTGCGCTTCTCTTGTGATGCCTCGACGCCTTCAGGATGGGAGGCGAACCTGCGCTTACTTACTCAACGTGCGTACTCAACATGCGCAAGTGTCCGCTAGCCCCACAGGGTTTGGACCGCGGTCCCCTCCGAGCCTTGAGCATGTTCGAGGCGATTTCACGCCCAGGACGATCTGACTGAGCCTAGGAAGGTTGGCGACCTGGCTGTGCGCCCGGGCTCGTGGACAATCAGGAGGAGGGGGGTGGTTCGGGAGAAGAAGAGGCTGACGACACTTTGGGGGTCATGCATGTGCTTGGTCTTGCGGTGTGATCCGGTGCGCCCATGTACGTGCCAGGATCACCGACCTGCCGTTTTGGATGAAGAACATACCCTGGATATCGTCTCCACTGCGAGCTTATTTACTTGCTCTTATTCCGGGTCACTTCGTGGTAGAAGGCTGAGTCGTAATGAGTATCGCGAAGTAAACTGGCCTTCCTTTTTCAGAGCCGTGACTAGATCAGTCAATACTCACACATTCTCGAGATAACTCAACCTCCAATCTCGTTTCCAGACTGTAATCTGGCGTCATAAGGATGTCGAATCCTCTTCTTCTCGCAAAATTGCGTCCCCTGGGTAACTACCAACACCGTTTTTCACTTCCGGGTTCAACTTCTTGTCTGCGGATGGCTGACAATACCACTTGCACGAAGGCAAACTCGAGCAAGTCTCAGCAGCCTGTCATCACTTGGGATTTTTCAATAATGTCGGCTTATCGGCCCCATTACAAACCGTCAGGATCTCACGCGGCGGCTTTCGATCTTCGCCGCGTCATCTTCGCTGCGACGCGTGATGTGGTACAGAAGAATCGCATCTTGTTCGCACTTCCCGTCAATGAGGATGCTGTTGATACCTACTTCGCCTCTCTTCCTAGTATCGATCTGACACGGAGCATCATCTTTCTGAAGCGAACCAAGCCGCTTGCGGCCGCTTCCGCGGATGGAAGTGATGAGGAGCTGGACACTATCCTGGAAAAACAGCACAACACCAGCTTCAAGGCAGACTATGGCAGCTTACCCTTTTGGAGACTGATCATTCTGGAAGCCCCAGGGCCGTCGAAGGAGTTCACAGCCTCTTTCATCTACCACCATGCTATTGGCGACGGCGTCTCCGGAATGGTGTTCCACAATGCTTTCCGTGCGGCTCTCGAGACCGCTTCTTTGTCCGCTACTGACGAGGCCGGAACAGAAGGCGAAGGAACCGTCGTGCCAGTTGAAGACATCTCAATCTTACCGCCACTGGAAGAGCTACATCCTTTGCCCATCAATCCTACTCCCTCCGCGCCTCCCGCACCAGGGCTCAAGCAGTGGACAGGCGGCCCCATTCATGCCCCCTGCGAGTCACGCTGGTCATCTCTCCACTTCTCACCGAGCACATCGCAGGCTTTTTTCCGCGTTTGCAAGGACAAGAGCGTTTCGGTGACATCGGGTCTGACTTCCATCATCGCCACGGCTCTTTTCGGGATCCTGCCCCCCACGACCGAGGCCATCACTTGCATTATACCGGTCAGCCTGCGTCCATGGCTCAGCCTTCCCCGAGGGGAAGCAAATGGCGCCATTGGGACCTATTTCGACGCCACGAAGGTACAGATTGCGCGGCCCGGCGGCCGCCCCGACTCGGCAGTCGAGTGGGATGCGGCACAAGCCGTGTCAGCAGGCATAGCCGACTATCTCGCCAACGTCTCCCCGACCGGTGAGCCCTACACCGCCGTTGCGCCTTTCAAGGGTATTGAGGACGTGTCTGTCATTTTCAATTCCCTTCTTGGGCAGCCCAGGGATGCGGCGCTCGAAGTGACCAATGTCGGACTGCTTGTTCCTGTCAGCGGATCTGTTCCCGAAAACGCCGAAAGCACATGGGAGATTGGTCGAGTTCTGCTCAGCCGGAGCGCCGTCGCCTCGGGTGCTGCCATCACAGTCAGCATCGCCACCGGCGGAGATGGCTCACTGTCAGTGGGGTTCAGCTGGCAGGAGGGTGTTGTAGGACAAGATGTCATTAACAAGTTGCGCGAGGGGGTTCGCGGCTTTTTCGGAAAGGCTTGATTACAAACATCAAAGACAAATACCTCCAGAATGAGCTTTTTTTGTGACCCATATGATATTCCAGCTACTCAACACACCGTGATGGGCTTCCACCAAGTCGGGTCAGTGTCAAGCGAAAAGAGCCTCTCCTGCAGGAGAGCCAAGATGTAGGTGGTGGTGGTTGTCTCATTTGGATCGCGCGAGTCTGCACGTGGGAATAGATTGGCAGAACCAGATCCAATAGTTGTGCATTCCACGCTGAGATTGGTATCCTCGATCCGAGCGGACATTGACGGGGTCAGCCTGCATTACAACTGCATGAGCGAGGCCAGGGTCCCCCCCAACGCGAGAGAGATCGCCAGAAACTTGCTCAAAAGACCGCAACACAACTCTACTTAGCACTAGCCTCCTTCACTCACTTTTTTCATGACTTCTCGGTGAGGCAGACGAATCGAAGGAATGAACACCAAGCATCCTGGTCCTTCTCGTGAAACATCCCTGTTGCTCCTTCGACTTGGCAACCAACCAACACCTGAGTACCAAGATCACACACACCCTTCCTCCTCCAGTGACACAAGCAAATCGGGTCAAGCATGGCTCAGCCGTCATCAAAGACGTATCCGTTCCCTTACTCACAAGCTGCACAGCTTGATGACAGGATCAAGGGTCCCCGTCCGATTATCGATCCGACCCTTACGTCCCTCGTGGACTTCTTTCTCCTTCCTGAGGAGCTAGATCTCGACTTGATGAGAGGCACAACCGTCAGCAGTGAGGAAAACGAAGCGACAGCATTTGTATACAATGCAGACACAGTTGTGCAGAGCGCACCGCACTTGGAGCACATCGAACATCACGTCCCAGGTCCCGATGGAAATGATGTGATTCTATCCATCTTCAGACCCAAGCAACCAACTTCCCCCAATCTGCCGGTCGTGTACCATATTCACGGCGGCGGCATGGTCGCTGGCGACCGTTTCAGCGCCGTGACCGAACTCTTGGGTCTCCTCAAGGATGTCGAGTGCGCATTTGCGTCCGTTGAGTATCGACTTGCCCCAGAGACCCGCGCACCCGGGCCTGCAGAAGACTGCCATGCAGGGCTCGTGTGGTTGTCTCAGCACGCAACCAGCCTGGGCCTCGACGCGGCCGGCATAATCGTGCTGGGTGTGTCTGGTGGCGCGGCCCTCGCGGCAGCCATCTGCCTCATGGCCCGCGATAGGAAGTCCCTAGCGACTCCTGTCAAGGCGCAGATGCTGCTGTCGCCCATGCTCGACGACCGCTGCGCCAGCGTGTCGGATCAACAATTCGAATACGGCAGTCCCTGGTCTGGCGTGTCGAACCGGATGGCGTGGACGCATGCGCTCGGTGATGATCGGGCCACCGACAGAGTGACGCCGTATCAGGCGCCGTCCCGCGCCGTCGACTTGGCGAACCTCCCGCCGACCTATATCGACGCCGCTGAATGCGAGGTGTTCCGTGACCCAGCCGTCCTCTACGCCATGAACATGTGGCGTTGCGGATCAACCTGCGAGTTGCACATATGGCCGGGCGCGTTCCACTTGTTTGATGGCATGGACAATCCTGAGGTGCCGCTTATCCACGCCGCTATAGTTGCGAAGCAGACTTGGCTCGGGAGGATCATGCGGGCCGTGGATCTAGACCAATAGACCGTCGCCCGTTGAGGCGGGTGTGTGAGCGGGTTAGGAATAAACTTGCGCATATTCATAATGGGGACCCTTCTCGCTTACCTGTGATCCCTGTCCTGTTTCTCAGTCGCCATCCCAAACAACACGCTATCCTGTTGCGGCATCGAGACCCTGGCTTTTTTGAGGTGAATCGAGCTAGTTATCATTGGCTGCGCTGACCAGCTCGCAGTGGAAGTGCTTGAAAGAAGGTCAGGCTTCACAGCTTTGACACTTACACCCCTCCCCCCTTGCGATACAACGGCGAAGGGTCTGTTTCTTCGGCGTGGGACACTGATGTAGGTGGATGTGCCGATAACTTTCTCAAATTGTGGAAAAGAAGCAAAGGTCCTTGCCACATTGATCACTTGGTTTCCACCACAAGATAAGCCGGACCAACAGCTGAGCAAGATTATTTGCGATACCCTTGGCTACATCCCTTACCTAGGTGGGCTATCAAAAGCAGGTGCGGCGCATGGCAGGAAAATATAACTCTTTCCAGTGACTTTAATTTTCTATTGACGATCCTTCCATCTTGCCTATTGTCTTTCAATCACAAGCAACGCAACGCTTTTGTGTTTCTCCCGCCTTCCACAGTCATGGCAGAACCTCGACACCCCGACGTGCCATTGCACGTTGGCAGTAAGGAGCAAGAGGCGAAGATTCGGGATCTAGAGCACGACCGCGATTCCTCGCAGCAACAAGAAGAGACCATCGACAAGGAGGCTCAAGCCGGTGTTCGCAATGTCGAAGCCATCGCCACGGTCTGGTCCAAGACGACTCTGATCATCGCCTATGTCTTGATCTGGATCGTGTACTTTGTCATGCTGATGCAGCAAATGTCATCGGCATCACTGACACCCTTCGTCACCTCGGCCTTCCAGCTTCACTCGCTGACACCGACCGTTGGAATCATCAGCACGGTGGCAGGAGGAGTCTGCATCCTCACGATTGCCAAGGTCCTTGACGTCTTTGGCCGCCCGCAAGGCTACGCCGTTTCGCTCGTCATCACAACAATTGGCCTCATCATGATGGCAGCAACCAACAGCGTCGAGATGTACGCGGCGGCACAGGTTTTCTGGACCGTCGGAACCAACTCGCTACTCTACACCGTCAACATCATCGTCGCCGATACCTCGTCCCTGCGCAACCGTGCGCTCATGACGGCCCTGACGGCATCACCCAATATTATAACCATCTGGCTAGGAGGTCCCATCTCGGAAGGCTTCCTCAATGGCCCTGGCTGGCGCTGGGCCTATGGCATGTTCTCCATTATCGTGCCCGTCATCTGTGCGCCCCTGCTTGCCCTGCTGCTCGTCAACCTCTCCAAGGCCAAGAAGCAGGGAGTCATCGTTTCGGAAAAGGAGAAGCGATCGCCTATTACATCCGTTCTTTATTATGCACGCGAATTCGACGCTGTCGGCCTTCTCCTGCTCACGGTTGGCTTGTCCATGTTCCTGCTGTCTTTCAACCTCTACGGCTTCCAGCCCCTGCAATGGCGCTCGCCTCTGATCATCTGCCTGTTGGTCTTTGGCGTGCTCCTCGTCGTGCTTTTCGCGTTGTGGGAGAAGTTCCTGGCTCCCGTCACATTCATCCCTTACTCACTGCTTCTCGACCGTAACATGGTCGGCGCATGTGTGCTCGGCACCACGTTGTTCATCAGCTTCTTCTGCTGGAACAGCTTCTTCACCTCGTACCTCATGGTTGTCCACGACCTGAGCGTGACCAAGGCCAGCTACGTCTACCAGATCTACGGTCTCGGCGGCAGTCTGTTCTCCATTGCCACCGGCGTGGCCATTCGGTACACGGGACGCTTCAAGGCCATTACGCTTTACGGTGCCATTCCCGTGTATGTGCTCTTCATGGGCCTCATGATCCACTTCCGGGATGCTAAGTCATCCAACCTCGGCCTTATCATTATGTCCCAGGTATTTTTGTCGGCCGCCGGTGGCATCATGCTCATCACGCCGCAGATCGCCGCCGTCTCGGCGTCGAACCACCAGAACGTCGCTGTCGTCATGGCCGTCCTGTCAATGTTCTCGGCCGTCGGTGGTGCCGTGGGCCTCACCGTCGCCGGAACCATTTGGCAGAACGTTTTTCCTGTCAAGCTTGCTGAGTACCTCCCCCTTGAGGCGCAGCCGGAACTATTCAACATTTACGCCATGCTCGAGGCGCAGCTCATGTACCCGGATGGAACGCCAACCCGTATCGCCATTCAGAAGGCGTACGCCGATGCGCAGTCGATGATGTTGACCGGAGGTACAGCGGTCTGGGTGCTTGCCGTTGTTGGTGTGGCCATTTGGAGGAACACGGATGTGAGGACCATGAAGCAGGTGAAGGGCAATGTCATCTAGAGGGCCAATCTTTCTTCTTTTGGCTGCATGCATGGAATTTGTAGCTGGTGTGAAATGCCTCTGAGCATCATGATGGTAGCTATAGCTGACGAGAGCAATGAATCAAGCCCATCTGTTCCGATCATCCAACTACTTTTTGGATTCATCTTGTATGCAACAGGGCTGACCGAGTTTGCTCATATTGACAGGTATAATAGATAAAAGGACTTCTCAGAACTAAGGGCTCTCATCGAACCGAGATACAGTGGAAAAGCTTTCGATACCCTCCCGTTCCGTAGTGTCGCTGGCAATGATTCCATAGACGGGCATATCTGCCAGCGTCGAAGCCACATGATGAAGCGTAGGTAGCGTCTTCCATGTTCCTCTATCAAATTTCATGGTCGATTCATGCCACGTCTTCTTTGCCGCCACATCGAGCGAGCTGGGCTCCGGTGCTGATTCATGCGTCTGGGTGACGAGATACTCAGCATCTGCAACACCCTTCTTGCCCACTGAAGGCACGCAACGGTACCAGAACCAAGTTGGTGCGTCTTGAACCGGCTGCGAAGCCCCGTTTGTCGGAGTCTGCGCATCTTGATCTTCGGGCTTTGAGACGCCATTCGTTGTGGCTCCGTTCGTCGTAGACCCTGCGCCGAGATCAATCTCGATGAAAACATTGCCATCCCAGCTACACTTTACAAGCACGCCCCTTTCCTTCCGGGCGACATCAATGTTGCAGAAGATCTTTGGCACGCCGAGTTCTTCTCTTCCTGTGACAAGAGGATCAGCAGCCCCCTCGAACATGACAACCATGAAGGAACCGACAACGCAATTGCCCGACTCCTTCTCGTACTGCACGCCGTGGATGAAGAAGCCGCAGACGTTATATCCGCGACCCCCGAGCCACGACAAGTCACGAAACTCGAGCGTCACAAGACTGGCCTCAGCAAGCGTACCGGGGCTGACGAAGCTAAAAGCCGGAGTCGGGAAGAGCGTCTTGAGATACGTAGCAGATGTGCTGAAGCGAATGTTATGAACCGTCGTGGAGCCGCCAGGGGGTTGAGGGGTGCCATCGTGGCGCTGTCTCGGGCTCGGCATGGGTCCGAAGGAAACGGGCCCTCGTTGGAAGCTCGGCCCATTGCGAGACCAAAGGTGTTCTTGGAGGACTCTCCTCGAGTTGTGCCACTCATCGTGGCCAAAGTTGTAGTTGATAAACTCCATCACTGTTTCTAGATGTAAGCGAAGCTGTATTGTGGCGTGCTTTTTGGGGTCACAGAAGCACAAGGTTCAGTCTTACTGTTGAAATTCTTCCGATTGGCGTCAGTCAAATCCTCTCCGGCCGATCTCGTGAAGTTTTGGATCTTGTGGGCCCTGGTATCTCTGATCTTTTCGTACAAAGCTAGCCTCTCAGGAAGTTCATTGACAGTTGTTCCTGAAGGGAGAAGGGCAGCAAGTGCAGCCGCATCTTCGATGGCCATGGCACCTGTAATGTATTAGCGACCTTTCATGCTGACTCAATAACGATAAAACTTACCTCCTTGGCCCTGATGAGGCAAGAATGGATGTGCTGCGTCACCGAGAAGCGCTAGCTTGCCCTTGAACCACGTTGGAATACGATCCATGTCTAGCAGCGTCCAGACCTTCAGCTCCGATTCCTCCACCTCCCGTAGAATAGACAGCACAACAGGAGCGAAACCGCCGTATACTTCTAGCAGGCGTTCCTTGCTGCCACTACGACTCCATCCTGCCAACAGTCAGCAATGTGTGGGTTGCGGATCTTGCGCGGAATATGTTGACCTTTGCCCTGCCCTGATGTGAGCTCGCTAGGGTGAATGCCAACAAAGTTCATGACCGTGTTGTTCAAGGTTGGGTACATGACAAGACGTCTGTCGTCGCCAACCCACATGGTCAGATAGCCATCCTCGGCAACCAGGTCTCGCGTTTCGGGATTCTCCTGGAGTGTTGATCGCGGTATCATGAATCTGAAGGCGCTCTTTCCCGAACCAAAAGGCTTGAGAGATGGGCCTGCGACGATGGATCGAGTGACTGACTGTTAAATCATTCTCATGTTAGCCGCAGCTCTCAGTTTTCTGCATGTAAATGGGCCTTACGCTAACACCATCGGCACCAATGAGAAGATCGCCTGACACGACGGATCCGTCCTCAAGTGTCACTGTACCGGCCGTGGGGTCGACATCGGCGACGGAACAGTTAGTGCGGATTTCGGCAGGTCGACCGGGCAGGGAAGTTGAAGTCGCCACTTTTTTCAGCTCTTCGTGGAGGCGGACCCGATGTGCGAGCATCCAAGACTTGAGTACATGCTGTCAGGATGTTTCATAGAAGATACCAGGTGTGGTCTTGAACATACATGTTGCCAGATGGATAGGGGTTTCCTGAGATCCACGCGGACCCTCTGATTGCCAATAAAATCATAGTCCGCGATCTTCAGAACGGTCAATAAAGACATGGCTCCTGGGGATATTGCCTGAGGACACCTACACCTCTGATTGGATTGGCCCCGAACTTCTCAGGAAACACACCGAATTGCTTGAGAATGCCATGGCAGTTTGGGGCAAGATGAATCGCGGCGCCAACTTCAGAATTCAAGCCTGAGCGTTCTAGAAGCTTGGTTTCAAAGTCAGCTTCACCATGATCCTGCAACTCTCAACCGCAGTCTTACCGTCACTTTGTGACCCTGCTGGCGCAGACCCAGGGCTGCTGTAAGCCCACCAATGCCTGCCAGCAAATTTAGCGAGGATCTTGATTAGAAATTCACAATTCACCAACCTGCTCCAACAATGACGATGTTCAGAGGTGAAACGGTTTCTGGTTGCTCCATCGTGAGGCAAATTGGCCTGGGCCACGAACTCAGTTCTGTAATGCGTACGTAGTATTGGCCAATGAAGCTTGGCTCAACTGGAGAATTCGACTGGAGAAAGAAGAACGAGTCTTCTCAAGTGCTCAGCTTGAACCCGGCTCTGCCACAGCATGTTGATTTGCTAGATGTCCTACATGTATTCAAGATCAAGTCTTGTGCTCGGAAGGCGCCGGGAGGTGGAGAGAGGGGCCGACAAGACGTTGTGTTTAATGCCAGGCGTGTTCCGCACTAGTATCAAGGGACCTGAGATCAGGAGAGGCATCACGCGGAGAACATGGGGGGATACCATGCTCGCCACCAATCCCGTGAAAGACCTGCTCTGGTCGTGATCGGTATTTGGATCTAACCTAAGCCCCGCCCCCGCACATTCGGCTCAGTTACCCCAGCCTTCCGGGCCGGGCGGCGGCCAGCTAGTCCCCTCCACATCCCGATCTGACCTTTGGTGGGCAAGACTGCGCTTCCTAGACCATATCCATAGACTCAGTGACCGCATGCGCTCGGTGAGAAACTCAAGTGTTCAAGTCCAACGCATCAAATCCCAATCATCTGTTTTTGGTCATTTGTCCACCCCTGTCATTTGGTCATCTTCAATCATGAGTAACTATTCACATTGGTAGAATATCATGTAAAAGCACGTGCTAATGTTGCCTAACAGCTCCACTAACGCCCGTACACTTCTTCTCCCATGGCTCTACCATGATGCTGGGCGAGGAATCCGAGGCTGCCACCTACTGGAAACGCGCCGGCGATGCCGCTATTGCGAATAAAATCAAAGGCGTCATCATGATGGTTTGTTCACCCACAATGTACTGATTGCGACTCTTGACTGATTATTTCCAGGGTGCACACTGGGATGCTCTCGGAGACAAGGTGGAGGTTGCCACAAATCCGGACCCTTCCAAATCACCAGTTGCCTACGTTCACCCATCCAAGTACGTGGACTACAAGCTTGTGCCCGACATCAAAACATCTGAGCGCTGCGTCAACATCCTCCGTGCGGCTGGATTCGACGCCAGTGGTAACCCAAAGTTTGACTGGATTCACGACACTTATCTGATTCTCATTCGCATGTTTCCTGACGGCTGCCCACCGACGACGCTCATCTCCATGAACGCGCGCTTCGACCCTCACTACCATGTTCGCGTCGGCGAAGCTCTGCGGCCCCTCCGTGCGGAAGGTTACCTCATCATCGGCTCCGGCGGCGCTGTTCACAACCTCTACAGGAACCACTGGGCTCCCATGTTGCGCTACTCTGACAACTTCGCCCAGACGCGCGCCCCCGAGCCATGGGCACTCGAATTCCGACAGGCCGTGGAGGATGTCGTCAAGAACAATTCTGGGCCCCGACTACGGAGAGCCATGACGCGACTAATGAAGCATCCCATGTACAGGGACGCGCACGCTACAGACGACCATTTCATGGCTGCCATGTTTGTGGCTGGAGCTGTAGGCGATGAGGATGACGAGGGGTGTTTTGGTGAGCTCAAGGCTGAGACTTGGGAGCTTACCAACATGTGTAATAGTCAGTTTACGTTTGGGAGCTGGCCAAAGACACTGGCTGTGGCATAAATCGTGATACTATACGTAGCATATATCTCGTTTGCTGTTTTTTGCATTTTCATAGTAATATATTGTAAGAAGCTTTCTCTCAAGTTGATTTCATATTTTGACTATTCAACACTGTACGTCTCTCCAGGCAGAAGGATGCTGTCGAATATCTTAGGCGTGGTCAGTCAAATAGGTGCATTGAAGAATCTTTGGTCTCGCTCAACAAAAGGAAACTAAAGCTTTGAAGATACTGTTGCAAAAAAGAGTAACACGCTTATATCAAGTTCTATTGAAGTCTATTTCTGGGGAATAATTGGCAAAGTAACGTAGTTCTGATATCCAGGCCCAAAATGGACGTGATTCGTACCCTGCAGCTTCTCGGGTGACCTGCTCAACTCGTATTAGCAAATATTGAATCACTCGAACGCAACTCGCGAGCCACTCACCTGTCAGACGGGTCGTCATGCGTGAAGATTCCAGATCCCTGTGTATCACCGGACGAAACCTCAAAAACGAGTTTGCCTCCCTTCTCGACAACCACATTGGTCGGCCAGATCTCGACATCAACAGTGTAGACTTCTCCCTGGATGACAGGCAAAACATCCTTGCTGGTATAGTCGCGGTGAGGCAGCCATTCACGGTGCTTCGCGTGCTCCTTGTTGATCTTTCGCAGACTGACGCGCAACCAGCCCTTGGTCAGGGGCACGGGGTCGCCAGCGGTGCCCGTGTAGTAGATCTCCTGTCCATTCGGCCCTATGTGGCGCAGGGTCACGAAAAGATCAATATCGCTTGGTGTCGGGCCAGATGGATCCGGAGTAACAGAGACGTTGAGATGAGCCGTAACGTGACCCGTGACTTCCGTTTCCGCCTCAAAGGGCAGTGTTACAAACTGAAGGACCTGCTGATCATCTAGTGACCCAAGGGCACGATATGACAGTTTTGCCCTATCGCTTAGGGACTCATGCACTGCATCGGGCGTTAAGCCGAGATCCGGCGTCAGGTGGAACTGCATGTACTCTGTACGTGCGATTGGCCACGCTTGCTCCTCACGACGAGGGAAGCTCTTTTCCTTTTCAGCATCATTGAAGCCAGCATCGCCTTTGCGCAGTACCAGCGTGACAGGTGAGACCTTGCCCGGCTCAGACCAGCCAACGCGGTCCTCTCCCTTGAGGAAAGCGTCGAGAAAGCTTCGTTGGACCTCGATCTCTTCCTTGTAGTAGAAGGGAAGATCATGACGGCCGGTGATCATGCGCAGGTACTTGAGTTTCGACCCAGCATGGAGATATCCCTCAATGTTGCCGCGGAGGTGCAACAAGATGCCGCCCCAGTTGCCCACCGATAACAGAGGGACCTCAATATCGCCCATGTCGTACTCCTTCGAGGCGTAGTAAGGATCGTCTCGGAATTTGTTATCGCGGTTGTCTGTTGTCTGATCACACCTGTTCGCGGCGAGTTCCTCCTCTTCGAGATCACCCTCAATGGTGTCCGGGCCCCAGTTTCTTGCGCTGCGGCCTGGCCGACCATACTGGTTCGTGATGACCTGGCGGTTCCACCAGAACTTGATAAAAGCGTTTGACAGAATGCCGCCATGACGGCAGCGGTCGCGATAGTAATCCGACATGCCTTCCCAGGGCACAATGGCCGCAAGGCCCTTGGGCCGGCGTGCCGCCACGCCGCCATTGGCTTCCAGCGTAGTAGCTGATACCAAGGAGTCCAACTTTGCCGTTTGACCACGACTGATCAGCGGCCCACTCAACAACGTCGAAGAAAGGCTTCGCTCGTGCCTCGCGACATGGTGTCCAGCAGGCCGGTCGACTGGCCGAGGCCACGCTCTTCGGCACGAACGACGGCATAGCCGTTGCGCGTCTCAGTAGCCGGGGTCTGGCGTCTCCCAGGTTGAGTGCTCTGACTTTTTGTTCTTCATTGACCTCGGCGAAGGAATTTCGGGGGGGAAGCTGGGCTCAGGGTCAGTTTCACAAAAATTAGGGACCCTGGGGAAACCAAGGGGGATAGTACTCTTTTATAGGGAATATCTTTTTCCGTAAGGGCCGTAGGTGAACAAGTACTGGAACTGGGCCCCTGCCGACTTTGGGCGGTAAATGTTGCAGCGTACGAGACCGTCGCCGGCCTTGAGAGTTACGGTGGCATTTTGTTCGAAAATGTAAGGGAATGACTTCTCGTCGACCTTGTGTAAGTCTTTCACTTGATTCGGCATATTGGGCAATTTTTGAGTCTGATGCTCGAGCTGCTTGATTTCAATGTCGAAGCCGCGATTCGAGAAATCATATGATATGGCATATATGCTGCGTCTGTGAACTGGACGGTGTGCTGTAATGCCGCTAACCTTGGCTACATATTGAGTCGGAATGTGGGGGAGGGCGCTGTGTTGCTGTTCAAACGGTTCTCCGAAGGACAAACTCATACGCGTGGAGCCGAAGACCCGACCCCGAATAGTGTCACTAAGGTATACCTAGTGGACCTAGAATCATATTTAGATGGGTCGGTCAACGAGGTGTGAAATGTCGTTTTCACTGATTTGCAGTGCTGGCATATAGAAAGGTGTCTTGTAGGTAGGTTCAAGAGACGACGACTCGAAGGTGATGCTAGCTTGCATTCGTATTATTGCCAATTTCCAAAATTCCAGTGTCGCAAGCTACTCTGGAAATGGGCGATTTGGTACGATCGTGCCTACGCACTCGCCAAAGCCCACGCCATCATCTCCATTTCCAGCCATAGCCGTCATCCGTACCATGTCTCCGTCTTCCAGAAACGCGCGCGTGCTGCCATCCTTCAGTACCACAGGCGCTGATCCTCCGCTTGTAACCTCTAATAAACAGCCTAGGGCGCCCTCTCCGGGTCCGCTGACTGTCCCTGTTGCCAGCACGTCGCCCGTGCGAAGCGAAGCGCCCGAGCTTACTGCGTGGGCCGTCATTTGCCTCATGCTCCAGTAGAGATCTTGCACCCTGCAGGTGCCAACAGTCGTAGCGTCGCCTCGAGCCACGATTTCTGCCTTCATTGTTATGTTGTAAGATGCCCTATCGGTATCTTCAAGATATTGAGGCACAGAACGCTGAATTTGTCCGTTCGATCTGAACGGTTCGAGGGCATCAAGTGTCACCACCCATGGTGACATTGTCGAGCCAACACTCTTGCCGTTGAAGGGCCCGAGAGGCATCATCTCGAATCCTTGGATATCCCGGGCTTCAAATGTCAGTCCTTATGGCTTCAACACACCTACCCAGTAATCACACAGCACTTACAGCTCCAGTCATTGAGGATGACGAACCCAAAAATGTGTTCATCAGCATCGGCTGCATTCAGACGCTGCCTCATAGGCAGTGGCTTGCCAATGATGGCGGCAAGCTCGAGCTCGTAGTCCATCTTCTGCGATGGCCCGAAAATAATAGAAGGCTCATTTCGGGGAGTATCCGGACCCATGGCCTTGGGGTTCCTGAATTGGCCCCAGGGCCTCTCGATTTCTGTTCCTGAGACGACAATTGAGCTTGCCCGGCCTTGGTAACCGATAGGGAAGTTGAAAAATGCCGGGGGTGGGCGCTCATCATTGATGATGATTCTGCCAGCGTTCTTGACATGCTCCAAGGAGCACGAGAAGTCTGCAGCTACCGTCAACGTTGTTCTGCGACTTGTGAATGAGTATGGCCTGTGGTACAGGGTTTCTTACCAGCAAAGTCCCCAATAGCCACAGGAAGATGCATGGTCACTGCGCCAATGTCCTCTGTTGCCGAGACAGGGAACGCGTCGATGCCGTTCCTCCCGAATGCATCTTGAAGCTCCCGCCGTACGCTGCTTTGCACGGATTTTGGTAGGTTGGCAAAGTTGTTCAGTGTTTCGTGAGACCAGGCGTCATCAGGGAGCCCCTCAATATCAGAGAAGAACCCGTTCTGATACAACGTTTCTAGCCAGATAACAGTGTTGCCGATCCTGGTTGCCGCACGAGGACGTTGGCGAGCTGTCGACGATGCGATGCCGAACGGAACATTCTTTTGCGAGAAGTGGTGGCATACTCTGCTGCGGAAGACATGACGGCTCACTGTACAGGATTGCTCATGAAGTTGCAATTTTGAGACTGTCGTCACTCGGACACTTAACCGCTGTATCTTGCTCTTTCATCTCGGGAACAATAACACCGTGGCATGTCTTTCGGCTTGACGCGGCCACTGCACCCCACCCCCCACATCGGGACCTTACGTCGGGAGTGAGGAGGCGGGGTGGTGCGGGGGATCAATTAGCACGAGACCGTGTCATTGTCCATAGACCATAACCATAGACAACAAGAACCGTGGCCTACAGCAGTTAAAAATTGTGAAGTACCTACCTAAGAAATTTACCTTCATTGTCAGTAGTCTCACCGCGAAGCCAACAGCCAAAGTCGCCAACGACTTTACACCATCCAAAGGACTCTTATACCTTCGCATACCATCACCATGGCTCACGTGGGCAAGCTCGCTATCCCCAGGCGCTTCATCACGGCCAACAACGATAAGGGCGAAGCAATAATCGACCATTCTATCCCCGCCGAGGGCGACTTCGCAGAGACTGCAAAAGGAGATGCCAGCTTCTTCCAACCCTACGTCACAAACACTTTCCCCGTTGACCTCGGCAACAGGGCAGACGTGACCGCTTACGAGGGCTACCGCAAGAGCCCTCCTGGGCTGAGCGTTTCCACTGGCACTGTCCTCCGCTACGTCGACATGCCGCCGGGAGCTCTGTCGCCCATGCACAAGACCATCAGCCTCGATTACGGTGTGGTTATTGAGGGAAGTGTCGAGTTGGTTCTCGATTCCGGGGAGACGCAGTTGCTGGAACGCGGCGACATTTGTGTCCAACGCGCAACAATGCATGCCTGGCGCAATGTCAGTCAGACGGAATGGGCTAGGATGTTGTACGTGCTGCAACCGGCGACTTCATCGGTCCCAGGAGAGGAGCTTTCGGAGGATTATGGAGGTATGCGCGGGGTAGCGTCATCCGCTTAGAAGTATAGAATAACGCCGATGAGTGTAACATAGCCTTTTATTCATGAACCGTTCATGAACCGTTCAAGAGATATCAGTTGTTCATCACTGTATTTTGTTGGAATTTGAAGCTTGCGCCAGTGCGTCGATGAACCAGATAGCCCTGAGCCACATACATAAACAAGGTATATTACGAAACTACAACAGAATAACCAGAACGTTATACCCAAGTCAAATCCCTTGGTCAGATCTCGCCCCCAATTTTGTACTTGAAAATATTCTCATTGAGACGGCCAAATGATGCTCGCCAAGCCTTCGCCGCAGTCTAAATCCCACACCATCAGTCCTAACATCCCGCTCAAGTCTCGTTCAACTGAAGGTGTAGTGCTCGCAGCGGCAAAGAGCTATACTTACTGCGTTGACAAAAACGCCTGTGAACATAGTCGCGATGAAGACCCTCTCGGCGGGATGCGTGTAAACGCGAATCTGCGACTGATCTCTTTCCGTGTCGATTGGCCTGTACGCTGGAACCCGGCGATGCGGAACATCCCAGTGCGGCGGTTCTGATGAAAGGCCTCCCTGCGGGGCTGTCTCTTCAGTGTTTTTCTGCGCTCTGCCGGAGTGATGCAGATCGTAGTCGTCCAAGAGACGAGATGGTAGGTGGTTCGGCCTTGAGACGGTCTGGGTGATTGTAGCTGACATTTTGGTGTCGGAGACTTGAATTGGGCGGCTAGGAACAACGAAATCTACGGAAGAAGAATAAAAGAGTGCAGAGCATACATAGGTCGTCGTTACGAAGCATTCGACACGAAACCGGTGAGATGAGAGCGGCTACGTGATGAAACGTGCTGTAGGCGAGGGGCCCGAACAGTAGCCTGAAGCACATCGGGATGTGGAGGAGCAGACCGAAGCTCCCGGCGCCCCCTTTTCCCCACAGCCGAGATCCCCAGGCCCTGTATCATGGCCTCGGCTGAGCTGTTCGATTAGTTTGAGATGTAATGCGAGCTACCATGTAAGTGCTAGCATGCCTTCATCATTGGAGATTCTTGTGCACATTGCGCACCTCTTTGGCACTTTTGCAGCTTGACTCTAAGCGAAACCCATATCTTGCCCAGCACCTCACAATGTCCAACAAGGCCTTCAGCAGCATCCGCTCGGCCGCCATCGATGGCCGGGCATGGAACCCATTTTTCAAGAAGACGCAGCTCAAGAAGCTGCATGAAGCGCTAGTTGCCCGCGCTACGAATATTAAAGCGGCCATGGAGAAGGACACGGGAAACACGAGATTCGAAATCGCAACCGAATACTGGCTGGCGTTGCGTTGTCTTGCCCAGGTCTACGACTCAATTGACACGGACACGGAGCTCAAATTGGAGTATCGGATTGCCAATAGCAAAGATGCATCAGATGCCCGAGACCCTGTGGGCATTGTTGTGATTGAACCTCTCGCGCAGACATTCCTCTACTCGCTGCTGTCAGCACTGGCGCCGGCGATCGGTGCTGGAAACTGTGTGATTGTTCAGGTATGTCTTCAAGTCATCCTTCTTCCATCGTGCAAGCTGATATATCTATTACAGATGGGGCGTTCCATGCTGGCGACGCCCAGCATCGTCTTGCCCTTAGTCCAGGCTGCTCTCGTGGAAGGGACGTTCGAAGTTTCATACACTACGGTGTCAGACAACGATATCAATCACAGGCATTGCCGGATCATGCAGAATGGCCCAACAGCGACACCTCTAGCCCACCACATCGTATCAGAAAGCAAGAATCGCATCATTGCCGTGGTGGAACGTGATGCCGACGTCGATGAGGCAGCACGATCCCTTGTCACGGCGCGCTTCTCCATCAGAGGCAAGAGTGCGTATGCGCCCGATCTGGTTCTGGTCAATGAATGGATAAGAAAGGATTTCCTGGCGGCTTTGTCGAAACAGTCAATAGCACTCGGCAATTCTTACGTCTCGGAAACTCGCCCAGCGAAGGCATCTCCGTCTTCGAACCTTGTACAAGAGGTGATGAAGGGAGGCTCTGGGAGCGTCCACTCAACGTCTCAATATGGTGCTATAGTGGAGATTGAGGAAAGGTCAGCCACTTTTCCTACATGTTTTTCAAGTTGAGAACACCACTGATGCAAAAGTAGGAGGTCTGATCTGCTCGGGCGTAAGACAGACGAGCCGTGCCTCGTAGTCCACTCCGTTACAAGCATGGACGACGCCATCGACGTCGCGTCGGGGTAAGCTGCTTGCATTCTTCAAAACGCTGGAAGCTTGCTGACATGGTCTACTCGTGACAGCTTTGGGAGACTCTCGGCGGCCTATGTCTTCACAGCGCCTGCGGCGGCCAAGTACATCTGCCAGTTCCTCAATGCCAGCATCTGCCTGGTCAACCATATCCCGCTCAAACTTCTTTGTATGTGCTCGAAGCGCATGGCCGGATGGACCACAACTGATTCTTGTAGATGGCCCCATAGCACCAGCTGATCACTCATTCAGCCCCGATACTCTGACACCCTACAGCGAGCGCCATTTTACCTTGGCCAAGGGACAGTTTATCGAGCCTACGAAAGATGGACAACGACTTGCGCAGCTCTTTTTTGAGGCCTCGCCGAAAGGTTGCCAGACCTTGCATGAGGAGGCTTCGGCCGCACTTAAAGATATGCACCGCGTGAAGAAGGGCGGCGACATCGGGTTCTTCAACCAAGGTATTGTCACGGGAGGCATCATTGTCCTGTCAACAGCCATTTCCTGCACAGGGCTTCTGTGCTACTATCTCGTCAAGGTAGCTAGGTCGACGCTATAAGGCGATACTTGTCAATATCTGGGTTTAATGTAGCTTTGGATGGGAGTCTACGGAGGTATACGAATATAACATGTATTGTTGATCCATTATGATACTTGTCTGACACTTGCGTCTGCGCGCTTTTTAGAGGTACAATCGCCAGCATGATGCCTCTCGACGTCGATTGACTTCCGCTTCCTCGCCGAAGCATCTGCTTTGCCCCGGGAATGAGGCCTTGCCATCAAACCTCACCTCCTTCGGCGCCTCGTGATGAGCGTTGCAGCCCAGCCATCAGCTGCACCAGCTTCTCGACCAACAGAGGGCGCGTCGCCCTGTCAAAGTTGGCCCTCAACACCTCCGAGACAATTTCCATGACCTGGTCAGGACTCGAAAGAGGCACCCCAACGACCTCGCCGCGCTCGGACAAGTTGTGTATGCAGGGAGACCCGCTGCCCAGCTGCAAGAACCGCTGCAGTAGCAGGCCGTCAAGCTCATCGAGCCAGACGGCCGGCGGCGCCAGGTCACCCGGCGACTCGGTCCACTGGGCTCGGGACGGCCCCTGCTGATCCGCCACGAGGCCGTAGACCCAGAACGTCAGGCTCGCGTGATAGACCATGATGGCCGTGAAGTCCCGGATCGTGCCGGGCGGGAGCTGCCGCGTCAGCCGCAACGCCTGGCCGGCATGCCACACGGCCTTGCGCGCCGCCTCACCGCGGGCCCACTCGTGCACCGCGGGGGATATGCTGCGCGCCTGCTCGGGGCCCTCGATGCCGGCGAAGAGCTGCAGGTCCTCAAAAGGCGTGTGCAGGTGTAGGAGGATGAGCTCGAGGCGGATGAGGAGCTCGAGGTTCGCCGTTGTCGGGGCGGAAATGTTGATGCTCATCTGGAAGTGGCTTAGGAGCTTCGACAGCTCGTCGCGGCGCGTCGTGGTGACGAAGTCGTTCCAGCGGCGGGGCTTGGCGCGCTGCAACGAACTCATCTGGATGTACTCCCAAGCCATGCCCCATACGCAGGAGAGGAATGCCTCCCGCGAGAGCGACTCGTCGACGGCGACGTCCGGCGCAGAGGTTGCTTCTGGGTTGTCAAGGAAGTCGAACAGTGTGAGTTTTTGTGGCGAGCCTTGGGCGAGAACCGCTTGTTTCCATTGCTGAGGAGTTGTTGCCATCCAGAGCTGTGGTGAGGATGGCAGGTGCAGTTGAACCTCGGCGTACGAGATGAGGGGGCTCGCGAACAGGGACATGGATGACTTGGCATCGTGATGCATCATTCGGAAGGCTAGTCTCCTGAAGCCCTCCATGTCGATCCAGGTGTGCCAGGCCTTCTCAAGCGAGACGTCATCAAGACTGGGATCCAGTGACAGGTCGAGATACCTGGTCTTTTTGAACTTGTTGTCCCTCCTGAGCATGGTGACGAGGGGCTGCAGAAAGGACTCGGAGATTTCGGCCTTTCTGCTGTAGCCGCTCCACATGCCCAACTCGAGAGAGATGAGGAACGCCTGGGACAACTGCAGGTCTCTGATCAAGGAATTGTCTTTCTCCCACTGTATATTGATCAGCAAGTAGCACCTTTATTTATTTGATAGGAGGCTTACCACTTCCGGGAGGGCCGCCCGGACAGACTCTTGAATGGCGTAGCCGAGTTTGACAGTGCCGGATCAAGCGTCACACGCACGGCAGCCGCATGCGGCGACGAGCTCTGGTCTTTTTTGTGTTGGATCAAGGTCGGCGT